CATTTTAATCGCAAAATAACCCTTGATTTTTTGTGCAAACTTTTTTACCAGAAATCTTGTTCCGATGTTCACGTCAAAATAAAATTATTTTAGTAAAATATAACACATAACTCATAGATTAATACTTAGTTGACGACATAGATTAAACAGTATAATAATATAAAAGATTTTAATTACCGTCTTATACAGAAATATATAAAAAAAAAAGATGTATATATTTTGGTGATATTTTAACTTTAAAAATATCAAAATTTTATTCCAATATGTTATAGACAATAAAGTAACTATTTTTTAAACGCATTATAAGATATTCCCCTACAAAATTGTTTACAATGTCATTTGTATCGTACCTATTGGTTATTTAAAAAAAACTCATGTCCGTGGATCAGAAATTTTTCAACATTTCATGTCACGAAAAAAACCTCCGGCTGGATTTTTCGTGAAGAATTTATTAAAATCCAAAATTTTAGGTTTTTTTTCATTAAATAATATATTCACTTAATTCGATCCATTATGGCTTTTCTTACGGTCTTAATCAATACAAGTTCAGATTTATTTAAAATTTCCGGAAAATACTGTACAGTTTTTAAACTTGTATAACTGTTTATTCGACCTATATTAAATTTTCAAACCAATCGAGTAAATCTATAAATTCGTTAAATAAATTTGTTGACAATAATAAAATTAGTCCACGGTCGATATCTGCATAATTTAATAATTCTCAGATAGAAAAAAAATAAAATAAAAACACTAATCACAGTGAAACAAATAGATCCCTTCCTACGCATTGTATCTAAAATGGAAAAAACTATTTAAACGTTATGTATTTTGTGAATAAATTTGTGTCAATTATACCTAAAGATTCTAAATTGATTAAAATAAAATACCCAGATCATACATCACTAATATATACAATATCTTTGTATAATAAATTATAATATAAGTAATACTTTTCTTACTTTGCAAATTATGTAGGAATAAAACCAGACTTAAAGTTAGATTCAACCAACATATATCAGATGAATTTGAAATTGAGACTGGACTTCGACAAGGAGATGCCCTATCCCCAATATTCTTAAATAAAGCATTAGAAATGATAGTTAGAAAAACTCAAAAAAATTATGGTGGGATAAACTTGGAAGAGAACAGAAGACAATGAGGAGTACTAGGGTACGCAGATGATATTATCATATTGGGATCAGACAGTCAAGAAGTCAAGGTAGGAACCAAAGAATTATTAATATTCGGCAAAGACATTGGAGTACAAATAAACGAAAGAAACACCAAATATATGGTAATATCTAGGCAAGAAAATCACGAGGAAAATTTAGAAGTTGAGAATTATAAATTTGAAAGGGTGCAAAATTTTAAATACATGAGTGTTACAATAAATGGCAAAAATAAAAATCACGAGGAAATTAAAATAAGACTAACTGCAGCAAATAAATGCTATAACGGAGTAACGAGTATACTAAAATTAAAACAGGTATCATTCAAATCAAAAATTACAATATACAGGGTAATTATCAGACCAGTCCTTCTATATGCGTGTGAAACATGGCCAACGACTAAAGGAGACGAAGAAAAATTAGCAACACTCGAAAGAAGAATATTAAGAAGAATATTTGAGCCAAAAATAAATAACACGACACGACAATATGAGAAAAGAAATAATATAGAAATACAACAATTATATAAAGAGCCACAAATAGTAGCAGTATTAAAATATAGGAGAATGTCATGGGCCGGTCATGTATGGAGGTCAAATGGTCTTATGAAACAGGTTTTAGAATGGAAACCCCAGGGGGGACAAGAGCACTTGCCAGGCCGAAACAATGGTGGATTGACAAGGTGGAGAAGAATTTAGCAGAGATTGAAATACGAGATGGAAAAACAATAGCACAGGACAGAGACAGATGGAAGCAGGATTGTGTTGCGGTAGTGGGCCTCAATGGCCTTTAAAAAAACCGATGACGAAGATGAAGATTGGTAATACTTTAAGCATTGTCCCATTTTCTATTACTACTGGGAAATAAAATTATCATTCTATACCAATATTATAAATATATACCTATCTAACATATCAGTAAAGCTATGCATAGTTAAATCCTAATCCACGAAATCTGAGCGAAATTAAGTAAATCATTTTTTTGATAACTTTTAATTTAAAATTATTTCCCTGGGCATCATCAGAATATATTTCTATATCCCGTAACCTTAATTTAAATATGTTTAATATTTTTTGGAAGTCTTGTCACACATAAATAAGGAATCGAACCCTAAAGTACTCGGAATATTACGTTTTTATAAACTTTTGGACTTTAAATCGACCTGATAAATTTTTGATTACATTTAAATTTAAAACATTATGTAAATAGGTCACAGATTATACTACGTAGAATATTTTTTTTAAATAAATTGTACATTATTTAAACAAGTACTACCAGGTGTGAGCCCCGATAATTAATTGCAATGCCTACTAGATAATAGTAGTTAACTATTGTGCACAACTTTTTCTCAGTATAATATTTAGTCTCAACTTGGTTTTTGGTTGTTGACAAATTCATGATGATATTTCGTACACTTATAATCTCGGTACAAATACTTCTAGTCTTAAATGAAAATCCAGAATTGGCATTTAAAATATCTAAACAAAAGGATCATGAAAATATTGTAAAAACATTTTACGATATGAATTTGGTAAGTAAACATTCTTTTGAAATTCGCGATTACTCTACGA